TCCCTGGAGCCCAAGTTTGAAAAGACCTAGAGCAGGAGCCTCTAGGCTAGAACATGTTTAATTAATATTCTCCAAATTGAACAGTCTAGAAAAAGTCTGTGAAGCTCCCAGTGAGCATCACTGACCCTGGTGGGCCAGTGCCATCCATGTTGGAGCATCCTAGCCACCTGTTCTTGGGACTCTGGACTGGAGAGATGAGGCAGATGTTGTTTCCAGACTTTAGTGACCTTCTTTCTGGGTGTGGAGTAAACAGGGCCCACTCTTTAGCTCGCTTTTGGGGAGCCTGGGAGGGGAGGGTGTTAATATGGACATTATGTTTTGTAACTAGAGAAAATAATGCCACAGTCTTAGTGCTTTCTTGCATAGTCTGATACTTTTGCCTACCCCTGAGCATAAAACATCACTGACTTGGGCTAAGAAAGGGAAAGAGGCAGCTCTCTTGCTCCACTCCCAAGCTTTCCCAGGTGTGTGGGTTGGGGAAGGGAAAAGAGTGCCTGGGTTTCCAGGATATAAAGCACCCTTTCCCTACACAAGTACACAAACAGAATTTTACATTGAATGGGGAAAAGACTAGCAGGAATTTTTTTCCACCAATGTCTCCGCTTGAGAAGGGGGTTCTTAGCATGGCTATGTAAATCAATACCGAGTTATTTCTTTGAATTCAAAGGCTATTTATTGAGGTCTAATTTCCTTAGAATTAACGTGATAACTGAGCCCAACTTAGCAACCAAACCCAACCAGGCCCTGCCCGGGTTGAATGCACCTCTACAGGGCGCAGGGGCTGCAAACCCTCGTCAGCACCCAACCCATTCCCTGGTCAAAGGGAGCGGGCTAACACCCCTCCAGGGATAAAACAGCAGGGGAATTTCCGTCGCAAAGACCCCATCCCTCCCACAGCGGCCTTTGGCGCCTTGACCCACACAGCCTTATATTGACAATCGTTATTTTTCTCTAAATAACACTGACAGCTAGAATACAAGCCCCCAAACCTCGACTCCTGTAAAAGCAAAAAGCAGTTTAGGCCTCAAAGTCGGCCTTCTAACACTCCTTAGTGAATATGACCCTCACCTATTACAGGATCTAAAAGAGCATTCGGCCTTCTACTCCTCCAGATTGCCGGCTTGACTTCTGTTTTGAATGATAAAGACGGCGCGGGACTGGCCTGCCCACCTCCTCCCACCTCCAAGGGCTGGCGAGGGATCCCCGGCCGGCAAGACAAAGAGGTAGGAGCCAGGGCCCGGCGGGCTGCTGGAGCCCCTGAAGCGTGCGCCTTCGCTGCGAGGCCCTGAAGAATCCGAGGGTTCTTGCCTCTCACAAGCGCCGGAGGTGCGCGCTGGACTAGAACAAACTAGGGGTGACTCGCCTCGGCTCATGACCGCCGCCCACGACACGCGGCGAAGGACTCAGCAGCCGAGATGCAGGGTTCAGCGGGAGAGAAACGCCTGCGGGGAGCGGCCCCTGCGGCACACAGCCACTGCGTACCGAACTCCTCGAGCGGAGGAGGCTGGTGGCAGAGGCCACACGTGGCAGCCACTCGCTGCGCGCCACCTTGGCACACTGTGTGGGGCCGGACTAGCTCTCTGGCCGGCTATTCCCGGGACCCGCCCGAAAGCCGGACGCTCAAGCAGTGGGGGATTCCATCCAGCCACTCGCACGGAGAACTCAACCAAGGCGGGAGGGACCCCTCGCCCGCTCCGCTCCGCTCCCCAGCCCCTGACTGACTGAGCTCAGTCTGGCTCAGCAGGACCTTGCCCATCGGCGACAACTGCTACCTCGGTGTAGCTGCACACTTGCTCCTCTGGAACACAGTGCTAGGGGTTTGTCCTCTAATGGGAGTGGGATGAGAGCCCTGCAGCTACAACCCCGACAATTCCAGCCCTTCAGGCTTTCTTGGGAATTAACAAGGGGGGGGGGACCCATTGCAAATAGGGGCTACTGAGCCCTGGATCTGGTGTTCAGTGCGGGGACCTTCTCTGGTCCCGCCACACCCCCACCCGCTCCGGGTGCGGCCAGAGTTGGGGAAGCCAGCGAGGAAAGCGGTGCACCTGCGAGCATAAAGAGAGAAAGAGAGACATGCACGGGGTTGGGGGGCGGGGGGAGAGAAACGCCTTCACCATGTTAACAGCAAGCTGCAGGGTATAAAGCAATAAAACTGCCACGTCTACCTGCTAGCTTTGAGGACATTACAAACAAGCTCGGCGCGAAGCCCGGGTGCACCGAGAGCCCGCTGGGGAAGGGGGGGGACCTTTTCTTCTTCTGACCTCCCCTCTGCCCCCCCATACACACACCCTACACAGATCTCCCCCTTACCCAGCCCACCTTTCATTTTCCTTGAAGCTTTTTTTGTTGTTGTTTTAATTCACTGCCGATTTGTAAACGCGTGGATCGGGTTACTGGTTCGCGTGTTAAAGTGCACCTCTTGTTAAAAGAAGGGGAACAAGGCACGCCACTTAAAAATGAATTCAGAGTTACTGAACCGGCTCCCGAGGCTCAAGAAGTTAAGCGCGGCGGGCTGGGGAAGGGAGGGGAGAGGAGAGTAATACGCTGCTGCCCTGAGAACCCTGGAGAAAACCCACGGGCAGCGAGCTTCAGGTTCTGTGATAAAAGGGAGGAAGGAAGGAAAGAAAAAGAAGAAGGCAAACTAGCCTGGCGACGCCTGGAGACCCCGGGCTGGGAGCTGGGAAAATCAATTAGCATAAGCCGCCGCTGCAGAGCTTCGCACAGTATGTAAATAGAGTCCAAGCTGCTACTTCTGCAGCCACCTTTCCTGGAGTTCCGGGGGCGAGCGGAACCAATAAACTGTCCATTTCTCGGGTTCCTTAGGTCGCATAACTTACGGAGTCCAAGAGAACAGGGTGCATACAAGTCCCAGTAGTTTCCCCAAAGAAAGACCCAGACTCGTCCCTGCAACCTCTAGACACGTTGACCTGGAGATGTTAGATTGTACATTTCTCCGTGTGGTCAGAGGCTCGCGGCTTGGGTCTAGTCGCGGACTGAACGCTGGCGCCGAGCCCATGGGGTCTGCAGGTCGTGCCCACCCAGTCCCGACCCACTGACGGTGAAGACTTCCTGCGCCTCCCCGCAGTCCCGGGACCCGACTCCTGGCGCGGCCCCGGCCTGCCCTCTTCGGCGCCTGGTCCCGGGTCCGGCTCTCCTACCTGGTGGCCGGGCCTGAGCTGCGCTCCAGGACTCCGCTGTCTCTGCTGGCTGCCTGGATCTGAGTGGGTCTGGAGACTAGAGGGAGAAAGGCTAGATCCGCAGCCCTGGGCTGCTCTGAACTTAATGTCTTTCCCCAGTCCATCTTTGAAAGAGAAGTGGTTCTACCACCTGGATGTGCGGATATAAATCCCCTTGCAAATAATAAATGGATTAATAATAACAAGGTATGAAGTTCTTTTTATAGAAAAAAAGGAGAGAATTGAAACTAAATGCGGCAGTTAGACATCCATTTTGATAAGAGGATAATTGAGGCGACACTGGTGTATAATTAGAGGATAATTTATGCTATATCCACTTTTATTCCACCTCCCAAAATAAACCCAGTCCATAATCATTACAGGCAAATTGTTCTGAATTTTATAGCAGCAATTTGAACAAAGTACTGCAGTTAATCATGGGAGATTTTTGTGTATTCCTGATTAGAACCCTAATTGCCTCCTTCCAGAAAGTAAAAATAACTGTAAAACGACTCTATTTTTATCATTAACAATGTTGACAATAAAATAAAATCAATTGGAATTGTAATCGAGAGACAAATTTAGGACGAACGCACTTTTACTTGGGTAGTTTATATTGTAATCAAGATTTGCCAAACCACTAACCGCATGTATCATTTGCATATATTTGAAAGCATTACAGTAGCTTCTGTTTTCAACAGGAAAAAATGCATTACTGTCAGTCTTCCAACGATTCGCTTTCAGAACAGGCTGCTGCGTTCTGGGGGGAAAAATATTCTCCCCCTTTCTTGTTCAATATATAGGAACTACGGCCTGAAACGTCAGGAACCCCGCCAAAACAGGGTCTGATTTTTCTTTTTCTTTACACCCTCCCCCCAACCAAGGGATGGGGCCCAGGTGTGGGGGGTCTTCTTCCCTCTGTGGTTTCAATAAAGTAAGTCTATAAAAATACACGGTGACAGGGCGCTCCCGCGGGACTACACTGGGACTGAGGGAGGGGGGTGTGGAGAGGAGGTCAAGGGAGGGGGGCCTCGCTTTAAATGCAGAGGGCACTGCTTCTGAGAACAGGCAGCCTGCTGGGGTGCAAGGGGACTGAGAGAGAGCGGCCTCCGGCCGGGCTGTTCCAAGGCTGCGGTACTGGGACCTGAGGCTCCGGGTTCGGGGGCGCGATCTGCGGCGGGAGGCGTCGGCGGCCCGCCGGGCGGAGGCACCTCCCTCCCCGGCAGCCCTGCGCGCGGAGCCGCGCGGCCCCCGGTTGCAGCTCGAGGCTGGGATTGGAGTTGCCGAAGGTAGGCGAAGAACTCCGCGAGCCGCGCGCACACCAGTAGAAGCCGTGCGCCTGTGACGTCAGCGGGCGACTGACCAATGGGGAGGCGCTGCCCTTTGGAGACAAACCATTCGACTCGTGGCGTCTGCATCAAGTCTGAAAGCAGACGCGCAACTTTCGCAGAATCCACCTTAAAATCTCTGCCTTAAACTGCACCAGCCCCCAAAAAATCCAAGGGGGGAAAGAAGGGGGGGAGAGCAGATTCCCCCCTCCCCCCTCTCCTCTCCCATCCCTCCCCCTTCCTCCTCCCTTTGAGTTAACAAGGCCCTGCTCACTATATCTCTTTATATTAAAAAATATATATATTAGAGAAGAGCGAGGGAGAGGGCGAACAACCTCCACCCCCTCTTTTAAAATTTTTTATTTATTATTATTATTATTTTTTTTGCAAGAATCCCAAGAGCTAAGGTGGCTGCAGAGGGGACAGCGGCGCGAGCCAAGTGGGGGGAGGGTGGAGGAAACCCGGGAGAAGGCTTTCTCCAGCCCCCAAAGTTTTGATGATGACCATGACTACGATGGCTGACGGCTTGGAAGGCCAGGACTCGTCCAAATCCGCCTTCATGGAGTTCGGGCAGCAGCAGCAGCAGCAGCAGCAGCAGCAGCAGCAGCAGCAACAGCAGCCGCCGCCGCCGCCGCCGCCGCCGCCACAGCCGCACTCGCAGCAGAGCTCCCCGGCCATGGCAGGCGCGCATTACCCTCTGCACTGCCTGCACTCGGCGGCGGCGGCGGCGGCGGCGGCCGGCTCGCACCACCACCACCACCAGCACCACCACCACGGCTCGCCCTACGCGTCGGGCGGCGGCAACTCCTACAACCACCGCTCGCTCGCCGCCTACCCGTACATGAGCCACTCGCAGCACAGCCCTTACCTCCAGTCCTACCACAACAGCAGCGCGGCCGCCCAGACGCGAGGGGACGACACAGGTGAGAGGCCGCTGGGGCAGCTCGCTTCTCCCGCCTCCCGCCTCCCCGGCTGCCCCCCACCCCGCCCGCCCCGCGCACTTCCTCGCCGCCCGGGCCTCCGCCGGCCCCCTCCCCCAGGCGGCCCGGCGCGCCCCCGGCCAGGCCTCGTGCGCGCCCGCTCGCCTGGCGCCTGCCTGCCGGCCTCCGCCCAGCCGGGCCCCTTCTCGCCGCCGCCGACCCTCGGCTTCCTCGCGGCGCGGCCCGCCTCGCTCGCTGGTCTGCGGCGCGCCACTCGAGCCGCGCCTCCGGCTCCGCGCTGGCTTCGCTCTACGAGTTGGTACGCACTGCGCGCCCCGGCTCGCTGGGTCTGTGCGCCCTTAGCCTCCCTCCTCCCCTCCGGGCTGTGACCGGCGTTCGGCAGGACTGGGGACATTTTGGGCCGGAACTGGGGAGCGTGTTTTGCTCCCCAACACAGTTTGGGCGGCCAGTGGCCTACTTTGCGGGTGGCGCTCGGTGCGCTTCGGTGACCCGAAGGGAAGCTGACGTTGCCTCTAGCTCTCGTTAAGCTGGTGACAATTGGGCTCTTTGCTGCGGGCTTTTAGATGTCCCCCACCCCCCACCCCTGACCAGGCCCCCCTCCCTCTGGGTTTTCGATCCAGTGTTGGCTGCGCCTTTGTTCCCAGAGGCGAAGCAAAGGGCCGCGGGCGGACGGTTCTCAGCCCCCGAGGGGTTCAAAGTTGCCAGGCGATGCTCAGCCCGTTCCCGAGCTGGTCTGAGCGGCTGGTTGTGTTTTGTTTGGGGTTTCGGTCCCTCTCAGCAGAATCATTTCGAACACGCCGAGGGTCTTGATGCACCGGGCTTGAGGCTAGTGACATCAAGTCAACTGGCCGCATCAACATCAGGGTGGTTCACGCACAGCCTAAGGCACTGTAAAGCCAGGCCGAGGGCCCCCAGCTGTGCGGCGAGGGCAAACGCCCCGCAGCGCCGCGCGCCACCGAGAGCGGCCGGCGCCGCCTCCGCTGCGGCAGAGCGAGGCTGTTGGCCCCGGGGTCCAGGGCGCTCCCGCGGTCCAGTCCCCGCACTTTATTAGGGCCGGAGTTAGGGTCGGGAAGACGCTTTCGCCCCCACAGGAAGCACCTGGGCACTGTGAACCCAGAGAGGTCAGGGTGGCGTGGGGACGCTTTGAAGAAATCCTTTCTGGGCTTTGGGGAGACCCAGCGCAGGCCAGGCCAAGCTCCGGGAGGCTGCGGCAGTGGGCCTCACGGGTGACTGCTCCTCTCTATTTTCTGCTTGCAGATCAACAAAAAACCACAGTGATTGAAAACGGGGAAATCCGGTTCAATGGAAAAGGGAAAAAGATTCGGAAGCCTCGGACCATTTATTCCAGCCTGCAGCTCCAGGCTTTAAACCATCGCTTTCAGCAAACTCAGTACCTGGCCCTTCCAGAGAGAGCTGAACTGGCAGCTTCCTTAGGACTGACACAAACACAGGTAATTCCCGAGAAGCCCAGGTATCCCTGAAGTGCTGACCCTGCTTACAGATCGGGCAGGGAATGCATCAGGAGGAATTCTGGGCCTAGTCAACTAAAGACGGAAGGAGCTTACTGACAAATCCCTTTGCTCCATTACGCACTTTCCGGGACAACACGGTTTGGAATAAGTGACCTGGTATTCAATGCTGGATTGGATTTGCACATCCTCCCAACCCTCGGCGACCCCACCCCAGCCTAGTGTCCTTTGGTGACCAAACTCATAAATTAATCGAGGCCTATTCCAGAGCAGAACAACAAGAAAGAGAACAAACATGTAGGAAGAAAAGATGTTCAGGCCAGGAGGCAGAATAAGACCTATGTTTCTTAAGGATCCATTTGTGGGTCCTGGGACTTAATAAGGATTTCAACTCATTGACATAGAATTATGAGATGAAATGTTGGGGGGGGGGGCAGCCGATGGGTATAGGCTCCAAGAAGATTTAGTAAAGGGACCAAGGTGCAAACTATCCGTCATAGGATAGGTGAGTTGGCTTTTTCTGAAGATAGCCCTGTGCTCAATGTTTTAAATCATCCTGGGGGACTGGCTGGTGCAGGCTGAGGTACGTCCCTGGAGTACAGGACTTGGGAGCAATGGCAGAGTTGGAGATCAAAGAAGAATGCTCACCAAATTACAGCAGGTGAAGCCTCAGTTAAGTACAGTTGCTGAATTCTCCTGTCCCACTAATTTGAAAGACATATGGGGCATTTTAGACTTCACAGGAAGGGGCTTAAGTAGGTATATTAGGACCCTGGTCATAAAGCCAGGCTGCAATCACCTGTGGTTTTTGTCCTTGTCAATTAACTTAGCTGCATGGGTTGGTAGGCCTCATGTGAGGTGGATGATCTTCAGCATGGGGACTCCAGGGTTTACGAGACTCTTGCTGGTAGGTGATTGTGTGGTGCCTGAGAACGGATGCCCCTTAAGCTCTTCTTTTCAATTCAGCTTGCTTTCTCTTGCCATATTGCCACTGGAAATATTTGGGGTTTGATGTGAATGGATTCCTGCTACTCAGTAACTTGTATTCTTCTTGGAAAAGCAGCTTCGTATGGCTAAGGAATTTTAAAGGTGAAAGAAGCGGCACCATAGAATTTCCTTCTTCAAATAAAGTCGATCTGGGATGTTAGCTTAGATATGCTCCCATCCCAGAGTCCTGATTCGCATTTAATTTTCAGGAGCCCTTTGACTTTTAGCTACTGCACTAACAATCATGTCAGGATTATTGACCACAATTTGACTAAAGCAACATACAAAGTAGGGAAGTAGGGAGGCATCATCCCTATTCCCTACAGGACTATGAGGCTATATTTCCTTCAGGAGACAGATGCTCCATGCATGTGCAATATATGCAGAGGTATATTCAAGGCATTTGGTTATAAATGTACAGGCTTTTCTCTGTTCACAGCCATTTGCTCACTGTACATGCATAGAGATGCCAGGTTTGGGGGTTAGTAAATACAAAAAGAGACTATCAGAGGAAGTGTGTTCAACTGGCTTTCACCTGCAAAGTTCTCTGTTTAAAGATCCCCCTTCTGACTTTAAACCTGGCTATCTTATTCGCCTTCCTTCTTATTTATACTGCTGTTTTAAACCCAGGCTTGCATCCAACTGAAGAAAGAGTTGCAACGACTTCAGGTATCCAGACAAGATACCTGGTAAATTGGGTCAGGGTGGGGGACAGGAGGCTAGAAAGAGCTGGAGGAAGGCGGGGAGTTGGCATTTGCGGTTTTGTTTTGTTCTTTGGATATTGCTTCCAGAGCCTCGAATAGAGGCACTGGCTCGATGTTTTTCCACGCCTAATGATCACTGCTGCATTTCGTTCCAGGTGAAGATATGGTTTCAGAACAAACGCTCTAAGTTTAAGAAATTGCTGAAGCAGGGCAGTAACCCGCATGAGAGCGACCCTCTCCCGGGCTCAGCGGCCCTGTCGCCGCGTTCGCCGGCGCTGCCTCCAGTGTGGGACGTTTCTGCCTCAGCTAAGGGCGTCAGTATGCCCCCCAACAGCTACATGCCCGGCTATTCGCATTGGTACTCCTCTCCACACCAGGACACGATGCAGAGACCGCAGATGATGTGAGTTGTCTGGGGGAAATTGATACCCTAGGGAAACGTCTGAACAAGGCAAGGAGTCATGCAGGACCTGCTTGCATCTGCCAAACCCAGCCAAAGGAGCAGGCTCCGGAGAACTCTTCCGGGTAGCAAGACAGTCTGGGCGCTTGCTCGCTCTCTTGCTCTCTCTCTCTCTCCTCTCCTCTTTCTTTTCTTTTTTTTTTTTCTTTTCCTTCCCTCATCTGCTTTTTCCTTTGAGCAGCCTCAGTAACTGATCTTGCATTCTAGGGAGAGAGCCAGAGAGAGAGAGACAGAGACTGGTTTCTATGCCAGCGCTCCTGAAACCCCTCACTGCAAGGACATTTTCCCTTACCCTTTGGGATCCAGGCTCTGAGCCTCCTCTTCTCTTTGGGAGTATCCATCAAAACGACTTTTTTTAACAGACATTTCCCCCACCAGAAGAATCTGCGCAAACATGGCAGCGTTTTTACTTGTTTAATGAGCTTAAGACATTACATGATGAAAAAGAAGCATTTTGGGCTCCTGCATTTTTATTTACCAATCCCAGACTGACAAAAAAAGAAAAAGAAAAAAAAAAAAAAACAAGAAAATGAAAAGAGAAAGCAAGCAAAAGAAAAAACCCTCACATAACAGTCCTCTAAAGAAAAAGGAAAAATCAACTGTAAGATTAGAACATTGCCACAAAGGGAACGCTGCATGTTTTATCAAAATGCAATGAGCAAGAATGATGATGTTTAAAAACAACAACAACAACAAAACCAAACCACTCTTTCCCTACCCCACCCCCAAACCCTGAACTGGAATCAGGAAAGACAGAAGAAACAACCAAAATCACCATTCTATTGCTTTGATACCTTTACTAGGTGAATTGGTGGCATTCACTAAGCTAATAGGGACGTTTATATTGAGAAACATTTCTGTATATATTGTTGAATTTTAGTTGTACATATACTTTGTATGGTTTTGTCTTCTTTCATATATGGAGTAAAAGCCACAAAATGCTGGGAGTGTCCTGTATATTTCTCTCTGTGTGTCTCTATCTCACCACCCCCTCCTCCTTCCCTCCCAGTATATTTTCTATCACTCTTAAAGAATTCCTATTTCCTAATATGGGAAGCCCTATATATAAACATCAAGTGCCTGCAAAGATATCTGTTTGCAGCACAAGCCTTTGTCTTAAAGTACTCTAACATTAAACATGGATGTTTTCTCAGCTTCCTCTAATATTATATTTTTATTGTAATTTCTATACATTTATTTATTTTAAAAAAAACATTAGAATGATCTATCCCCAGGTTAACCTCTAGACATCCAGTAGTTCCCAGTGCTGAAACCGAGTGTTCTCCTTTTCCTTTCCTCAGCCAAAATAATACAGCTGTATTTGTCTTTGTTTGGAAGCAGTTTTTTTTTTTTTAAACAAGAGAAAAGAATACAAGAAAAAACACACAAAGTAAATGCACAATTATAACTACTTAATGTTTACACCTTTTGCGAGCTAGCTAGGTAGGAAAATGCATGATCCTGGATGAAATACATCCTTCCGATCTTGTGGAAAGCACAGAAATAATGAAAATGAAAAGCCCTTTCGTCATACAAGCAGGAAGCCCCATACTGCGAGAATTAATGGCTACAGACCTGGGCATCCTTCAAATTATGAACCTTGAAACCACTGAGCCATTTATCAGAAGTCAATAGAGATACTCAGAGTGCTCCATATAATGACAGCGACATACAGTCGTGCAAAAGGACAGTCACTATAATTAGACACAAAGCAAAGACTACTTACCAATATACCCGTTCCTTTTTTTGTTGAGCAACTTCCACGCTCAGTCAGTCTCAGAATGGTTTAAAACCGATCAGTCTTGTCATTTTCTAGCATTCGCATTGTTACATTAGGAAAAATGTTTTCTTTTCTTTTTTCCCCCTTCCTACTGTGAAACTTTGGGTTCGTAGCTCCCCAGGATCAATTCTGAACAAAGCCTCCAGCTGCAGTGCCATCCAATTTGAAGCAGACATTGGGGACAATTTAAGGTTTTTATCCACAAGAAGGTTTTTTTCCATTCTCTTAAATGCAGCCATAATTAGAGTAATTTTTCATGTAGCCCGCTGATTACAGCGTTTTTACCGTCAAAGATAATTACCTGTAATTTTCTTCCACTTTTAATACTAAAAAGCCATCTTTATTTAGATTCAGGAACAGGAAAGGCGAAACAAAAGAGGGAAATTATTCTGTTATTCATACACAAATTGCAGAGACGTAGGACCTAAAATTGAAAATTAACCAAAATTATAATGCTGAAAAGAATGGAAGAGGCTGCAGAAGTACAGCTGGTAGTGGGGCTTTGCTGAATTATTCAAATTACGTTAGAGAAAAAGCTACCATACATCGAAACCAACACTAATTTTTCTTAAAAAAAAAAAAAAAATCTACCAGACGCATGCCAAACCACTGTGAGTGCATGGAATTCTGAAACCCAGCAAATGCATTTTAACACATTGGAGGTGTTGTCATGATGCGCCTACAACGATCTCTCTATCTCTTAACTTGGGTTTAATTAAACAAGAAATTCTGCAAAGGGGTCCTCCCAAGAACTATCCTTGGAACTGGGCTTCCCCTGGGTCCTCTGAATCTAAAGGGTTAACATCTTCGCTTTTTAGAAAGTATTGACCCCATAGTAAACTGATAAGAGAGAGAGAGAGAGATTGAGAGAGGGAGAGAGACTGGTAGGAGGGGCGTGGGTAAAAGGCATCGCCCAGTTGCGGTGCCTACAACGCCTCCTCACGTTCGAACTTCCCCGGAGTTGGCGTTCTAGAGCCTCGTTCTGACCGTATTTTCCAGGTAAAAAAAGAACGAGAGAACAATAGCTGCGGGGGTGAGGGGAAGGGGGGAAATTTCTTCTCGGCGTCAATAAGCATCTCATTATCTTTTGACACAATTTAGTCCAAAGGTTTCCGCCGCCAGAGAAAGGCCTTTCTGTACAGGGGTGAGGGAGCCAGAGACTTCTCAGGATCCTGCAACTTAACATCTCTAGGTGCTTCCAGTGTCTACAAGGGTCAGGAAACAGCGTCATCTATAGATAGAACAGCACCGCTTCTTGCGAGAGTCTTCCTTGGTGCGTTCCTAAATCGGACTGGCTCCTGGGCTCCACAGCTCCGTTCTGTGTCTCAGCCAATCATGCCCCTCCAACCCCAAGGTCGCAGCGTTCGGGCCCCGCGGGCAATAGCTGTACGAACCGCATCCCGCCCCTCCCCCTCCTTCCCTCCCCCATCAGCTGGAGGCAAAGGCCTAGCAAAGCAACCCTGAAGGGTTTCAGGGGCCAGTTATTCCGGAAACTTTCTCCCAAGTGGAGGAAAATGTCGACGGGGCTATGCAGTCGAGAGATGCAGACTACACCTGCCTGCCGTTGCAAATGCCCGCCTACCTGTGATACTAAAGGAGCGTTGTGCCGAGCTCCGTTTGCTCTCTCGATGCCCCACAACTTAAAATCATCGGTACATGTAAAGATCTTAAATTCGCCTAGGACTAGCTTTGAGTAACAATTTCCAAACAGATTTTAGCTTGGAATCTCCAGCCGGCTCCCTCCACACCTTACAGAAACCTGGTCTTTTTCGCAGTCTCCAGTCACAAGCTGCACCAAGTACATCAATAGCACAGAAAGCAAAAAAGACATACCGAGTTCTTAAGGATCCCAACCTCACCCGAATCCTTTTACTCACCAGAACGACAACGCTTTTACTGTTAAAGGGGGATAAAAGGTCAGAATTGAAAAATCTATAAAGCAAAGTTGCAGTCTATAATAAATCACAACAGCAACACATATAGCTTGGAAAGTGTGAGAAGAGAAATATGAACTGTGCCTTGAAGTATGGAAGAAATAAAAACTTACCACCAGTGAATATCTCTTAAGCAATGATCAGGGTCTAGAAATCTATACTGAACAGAAGCAGAGGAGAATATTTGTCTGAGTCTCAGGGCAGAAGCTCTTTCTCTATATTCTTGGTTGAGTGAGCACATCCAGGTGTGAAATTGTTTGCACACCCCAGCACCTCTTATATTGCCAGCAAAATTAGCTGTTATTACTGTCACTGTTTAGTGATGGTTAGCGTGATACAAAAAAAAAAAAAAAAAAAAACTGCTGTAATCAAGACCTGGCGCATCTTTGCAAATTACAGATAATTGTAAACGTCCAGATTATGATAATAGCATCCTAATCCAGCCTGCAATATAATTATTACAGAGTGTTACATCTGAAACTGTCCAGTAGGGCTAATTCAGCCATTATTTAGACCCTATTTTTGCACTGCAAATGGGTTGCTGAGTTGAAAATGTACGATTGTAATTTCACAGGGCACTCAATGAGTAATGGTATAGGAAGAGGAAAATACAAAAGTGAAATGTGAACAGTAGCGATCAAATCAAACCCTGAAGGACAAAAGACTGTTTGATTCATATGGAAAAAGAAGAGCGGGAATTAAGAAAATAGCAAATCAGTGGTCTGAAGTATTAAGTGTACAAATCTCCAATATGTGTAGGGCTGATGTGTTTGCAAGGGCTGCTGCATGTGCTTCTGCCTGGAGTCTGAAATAATTTTTCTCTTTTTCTTTCTTTCTTTCTTTCTTTCTTTCTTTCTTTCTTTCTTTCTTTCTTTCTTTCTCTTTCTTTCTTTCTTTCCCTTTCTTTCTTTCTTTCTTTCTTTCTTTCTTTCTTTCTTTCTTTCTTTCTTTCTTTCTTTCTTTCTTTCTTTCTTTCTTTCTTTCTTTCTTTCTTTCTTTCTTCTTTCCTTCTTTCCTTTCTATGCCTCCTATCTTTGTTTTCCCTCTCTGCTAACGCATTTCCTTGCTTAGAAAAGAAAAGTGCCCTTCCCCCAAGCAAAGAACATTTGACAGTTTCACCATTGTTTCCACCAAGGCTGCCTCAGAGTGTGCCTGTCACTTGTTTATGAACATTTGTTTAAATGAGTTTGCAATCTCTCTTGTCATCAGAGCAAAATGCCCTGGGTGCTTGTAAGTGTTCCTGAGCTCCATCTCCATTCTCTTTCACAGCGAACAAGTCATTGAGAGTCCTGAAGGATATTAGCCGAAAACGTATTAATTGCTGCTAATTAAATAAAGCCGGCTGGGAAGCTGTCTCCTCCACTCGGCTAGGCTGACTATTGGCTTTAATCCTATCATT